CAGGTAAACACTTGCACATGTGGACAGTTGTCTGGGCGAGCCAGCAAATTCAGATCTTAAATAAACCACGGGTGCTTATCTGAAAGAATAGTTATTGAGAACTATGTGCCAAGATTTTGGTGAGGAACGTGATGTTAATCTCTAGTCCCACAGAGCTGGGTTGTGAGCTTCTGTGAGTGGGAACAGCTTACGAACCTGTGCGGGTTGACCTGTGGGTGGAAGAGCCGTAATCAACGGAAACCAAGCGAGCGCAAGAGGATGACGTGGTCAGCTGCTGGGTGTCACGTGAGCAGATCTGTGGTTTAATAAGCTCATGAAGTGGCAGGGTAGAGACTGAGCTAGCTGAAAGGAAGACAAAGCATACGGCAGGTGGCAGGTCACTGCAGGTAACTGAGGCCTGCGTGCAGCAAACAGAACAAGCTGATGACCCGGGCGGTGGTGGCGTACACCTTTAACCCTAGCACTCGGGAGGCAGAAGCAGGTGGATCTCTGTGAGTTTAAGGACAGCCTGGTCTACAGAGTGAGTTCCAGGATGGCCAAGTCTACACAGAGAAACCCTGTCTCAAAAAAAAAAAAAAAAAAAAAAAAAAAAAAAGAAAGAAAGAAAGAAAGAAAAGAAAAGAAAACCAAACAAGTTTCCGTACCCACAACCTTAGAGTGCCGCTGTCCTCCCCCCTCACCACGTCCACTCCTCCTCTTTTCCTTCCTGTAAAAACCACCAATCTGTCTTCCACTTTATCATTTTGCCAGTTTGAGATGGAATTGTCTGCTTAGCGCTGCAGGAGGGGCTTTTTCTCACAGTTCCCTGGAGAGTGGGAGTTGCTGCCCCTCTCTACCTCATCCTCCGTGGCTGGAAGGGGGTCTAGACTGTGGCCATACCAACTTTCACCATGAAAGGACATCTGTATCTGGACGGTGTCCAGTTTGGGGCTATTACCATGCAAGCTTCAGTAGACGTTATTATGTGAGCACAGGCTCACTCCGCCGGGCTAAGTGCCCAAACATAACTGCTGAGGAGCATAGTGTGTTTAGATCTTCAGGGTCTGTAGAGGGAGGAGCCCGTTGTTCATGTTGGCTGCATGGCAGGAGACTCCAGCCTTGCCTCGGCCTTGCCTTCCACCACTTCAGCTGTCACAGCGAATGCTGACATGGGACACCCTTGTTCTGTGCGGCTCTGCAGTCATCATGTCCTCTTCCGGGACACTCCTCTCCCTGTCTGTCATGGCTGGACGACATGTTTGCTTGTCGTTGAGATGGAATTTGCTTATATTCCCCAGGGAGGTGTCCTTGGTCAGGCATATGATTTGTGACCAGTCTCTCCCATTGCTGGCCATTGCTTCCTGTCAGAGACCTATGAAGGGAAGCTTCCCTTCCCTTCTTTCCTTTCTTCTTTCTCTTTGTCCTCAGGGGAGAGTGCGAATGCAGTTCCCAACCACTGATTATGCCATCGGGTTTCCCACACTTGGGCACATCGCAGGTCGGGATAGCTGGAGTACATAGGAAAGCCTCACCCTGGGAACGCCTTTGTGATCATGGTGTCGGCCCCGCCAGGTTACTATGCTTTCATCTTGGTGAAGGCCAGCTTTTCTTTCTTTTGGCTTCTCAGTGTGCTAAGAATTCTCCAACACATCCTAGGGCCCAGAGCTATTTCCCTGTCTAAGGCCTAGAGGATCCCTGTTAATGCTGGAACTCAGATCTGCTGAGTTGATTGTGTCAGGTGTGAGACTCAGGGCAGAACTCGTTTCTTGGCCTGTGGGCTGTCAGTGGCTCTAGTACCTGGGGTTGAGATGAGTGCTCTTCCTGACAGCTAAGATTCAGACACCTCCCTGTCACCACAGCTCCCCAGTTACCAGCCCCACAGCGGTGCCCACAGTCCTCCGGCCCTCTACGGCCTCCAGGCACCGGCTCTTGGGCACTCTGAGCTCCCAGACTCCAGCTATACTGTAACTTTACCTGCTAGCCCAGGAGCTTAGCCTAAGCCCAGAGAAGTGTCCCCAGGGAGCGGCGCCTGAAGCTGGGGTCCCAGGCTGGGCAAAGAATCTGATATCCCTTCAAGGGACACAGAAGCAAGTGTTTGCCAAAAGGCCTGACACCCATACCACCATTTCTGGCAGCACCCTCAGCTTTAGGGGTGAGATATGGGGTAACTAACTTTAAATTCAGGTGACTTAAAGGAAATAAAGGTAAGGTCAGGTGTGGTACCCAGCACCTGTAACCCCAGAACTGTAGTGGCTAAGGCAGAAGGATCAGGATTGTTCCTGGCCAACGTGTGTGTGTGTGTGTGTGTGTGTGTGTGTGTGTGTGTATACAAACAAATAGCAGGTAGAGGCACTTTCTAGGCTGGTTTCTCAGAGTTGCCCCCACTGCCGAGTGAGCCTCACCAGCGACCTCCTGGCCTCACATGTTCCAGTGGTCAGCATGAGGAAGACAGCACTCCCTCCTGGTGGGAGGCAGTTCCACCAAGGGGGAAGAAACAGGAATAGATTGAGGGCACCTGTGATACCTGGCCAACCTCTGAGGCCAGAGAGCCTAATCGACCACAGCAGCTGTATCCTCCGATGGCCAGAGCGCTGAGGGAGCTAGCACAACCACACAGAAGGCGTCCCCTGGCAGACAACAACCAATCACTGTTCAGAAACCCGCAGGTGTTTGGTTGGTGGGATGGAACCAAATACGAAACCTAGGAATCCCTGTATCCTATCGATTGATACACACACACACACACACACACACATTCCTTATGAGATATATAGTCATATATATATCTATATCTATCTATCTAGAGAGAGAGAGAGAGAGTATGACCCTGTCCCGTAAGGAATGTGTGTGTGTGTGTGTGTATGTGTGTGTGTGTGTGTGTGTGGTGTGTATTTACATATATACACACATCTATTCCTTATGAGACAGGGTCAATGCTCTTGCCCAGTCCTGGTATTACAGATGTGTGCCACCACATCGGAAACCTTTGGCGTAGGGAAGTGCATGCCAGGGCCACACCTGCTCCGGGGTGCTCCCATCATCGGCGTACACCCGGGGGTCTGCTCCGAGCTTCAGAAGCACCTCCACGGCTTCCAGGTGGCCCCCAAAGGCTGCCCGGTAGAGCGGCGTGCGGCCGAAGGCGCCCTGCGGAAGGGGCTCCCTGAGCGCGTGCGGGGACCAGGCCACGCCGCTGCCGCGCGCACCGCGCCCACCTTGCTGTTGGGGCTGGCACCCAGCTCCGCCAGCAGCTGGATGGCCAAGGGCTGCCCGCCCGCCGCCGCCTCGGACAGAGGCGTGTTCCCGTGGCTGTCCTCGCACTCCACAGTGGCCACGCGCCTCTGCAGCCGCTGAGCCTTGCCCGCCTCGTCGTGGCCCACACCTTCGCGCGTTAGGAGCTGATCCACCTGGGCGCAGGGCAGGGTCACCTTGACGTCCGCCGGGTCCCGCCCACCCGCTGCTGCCACACGGACCTCTTTAAGCACCGCACGGATCTCGCCCAGGTCCCCTTCGAAGGCAGCCTCCAGCAGGCGGCGGCGGCGCTGCAGCTCCTCCCGCCGGGCGCGCTCCGCCGCCTCCTCCTGCTCGCGCTGCCGCCGAGCCGCCTCCTGCTCCCGGCGCACCAAGGCCAGGTAGGCCTGCAAGACATGGTCCGTGGTCACCAACCCCAGCGCCCACGCAGCTCGTGGTCACTGTGCAATCCAGACATCATGTCCACAACCTGAGGTCCCTGTCTAAACCCCAAGGTCATGATTCCCCTTTACAGTCTTCAGACCTTCCCTCTTCCGCTGGTCCTGGCACCCAGGGTCTTGTGGCTGAACCCTACTCACCTCTCTCTGCAGCTTCTCCATTTCATCGAGGTACTCCTGGCGCTCCTGCCGACGGCGAGCCAGCTCCTTTCGAGCGAGATGTTGCCGGAAGGCACACTGGATGACAATGGCGGCTTTGTCCTCGGCGGTTGGGGCTGGGGTGAAGAGAGTTGAGATTTGAACCCCAGTCTTCCTTCCTAGCCACCATCTATGCAGTTGCTTGGGTCATAAAGAGGACCCGGATGGTTCTCAGAAAGCATGAAGGCCGGATGCCGTGATCATGCCCATCTCCCAACACTCAGGAGGACCATAGAGTTCATTAGTGTGAAACCAGCCAGGGCTAAGTGGTAGACAGTGTCTCAACAGTGACAAAAATTCCTCACTAGCTGAGTCAGAATGATGCTCCCTCAGAAGAACCAGGGAAGGAGAGTGCGCCGGGCTTGAGCAGAAAGTCCACATCCCCGGGGCCAGAAAATCGCTAGAAATCTGCAGCTGGAAAGATGCCGACTGAGCAGTTGTAGGAAGCCCGAGGAAAGGACAGAAAAACTGCCCCTGGTCCTCAGGGTTCACCCACCAGAGCCAGAGGCCCAACACATCCTCAAAGCTTGGACATTAAGTATAAACTGCCGCAAAAGGGGAGTGGTCTCAGACCACAGCCCAGGACACTCACAAGAGGGTGTGAGTCTAGAACTTGGGCACAGCCGGCGCACACATTCAGGCCATCTTGCAGAGGTCTAACATGCTGTCCTGGCACAGTGGCTTCCAGGAGCAGGGGACTGGAAGAACACCACGCAGACCCTCTTGTGACTGGCTGATCACCAGCGAGTAACCTATGGGCACTACTCCACCCCACAGGGTCTCTCTGTCGGGGTGGGGGAAGCAGGGAAATCAGGGAAGTTGAAGAGCTAGAAGAATACAAGCCACAAGTGAGGTGTCCAGAGTGTCTACCCACAAAAGAGAGATGAAAATCTTATCTAACTGGGACTCCAAGACAGGCTGTGTAGACCGCCAGGACAACTGAAAGATGAGTCAGAGTGCATAAAGAAACAGAAAACAAGACTCAGATGGACAGACATGAAGAAATTCAGCAGCAAGGACAGCAGGCAGTGTAGTGTGGCTCTGCAGAGAGGGGCGGTCCCAGGTGACGCCGAGAGGGGCGGTCCCAGGTGACTCAGTTGAGGAACAGCATAGAGCAGAAACCAGGAAGGAGATAAACTGGGTGCGGCAAATGCTGGTCCAGGTACTCCAGGGGGTAGGGAGGTCACTTGATTCAAGGGGGTGGAGACTAACCTGGACAACGCAGTGAGAACCCTTCTCAACCATTTCCCCAGATAAAAACAAAGGTGAGAAATTAATCTTGTGTGTGCAGGTGCACATGGCTGACTGGCCGTGATCCCAGGGACCCTCCTGCCTCTGCCTCTCCGGGGCTGGAACTACGTTGCTTTTGGGGATTAAACTCAGATCCTCAAGTCCGATCTACAATCTAGTGGCTGAATGCAACATCTTCTCCTGGTCCCGGAAATGAATCTTTGGATTCAATCTTTGGTGGGTATAATTAGCAAGCACCCTATACTGTTTTACATCTGGGCCCTATTTTATTTTGCTTTCTTTCTTTTTTCTTTTCTTTCTTTTTCTCTCTTTTTTTTTTTTTTTTTTAAAGATTTATTATGTATACAACATTCTGCCTCGATGTATGCCCGCACGCCAGAGGAGGGCGCCAGATCTCAGTACAGATGGTTGTGAGCCACCATGTGGTTGCTGGGAATTGAACTCAGGACCTCTGGAAGAGCAGCCAGTGCTCCTAACCTCTGAGCCATCTCTCCAGCCCACTCTTTTCTTTTTTTTTTATAGTTTTGTTGTTGTTTTTGAGACAGGGTTTCATATTTAACATTCTTCTAAATGTTTCATTGGGGATGCAAAGGACTTCTGAAATAGGCAATTGGAGAAAGAAGATATGACTGAAAACAAAACGATAGGCAGGCAGTGGTGCACATGCTTTTAGTCCTAGCACTTGGGAGGCAGAAGCAGACAGATCACTGAGTTCCAGGCCAGCCTGGTCTACAGAGTGAGCTCCAGGACAGCCAGGGCTACACAGAGAAACCCTGTCTCGAAATACCAAAAAATTAGAAACAATGAGAGCGTTGGTAGAAAAGGCTAATAATGATCAAGAACATAAAGATGTTTGAGGAAGCCAGGCGGTGGTGGCACACGCCTTTAATCCCAGCACTTGGGAGGCAGAGGCAGGCGGATCTCTGTGAGTTCGAGACCAGCCTGGTCTACAAGAGCTAGTTCCAGGACAGGCTCCAAAACCACAGAGAAACTCTGTCTCGAAAAACCAAAAAAAAAAAAAAAAAAAAAAAAAAGATGTTTGAGGAACTAAAAGTTAAAGGTAAGACTGAAAACTTTTATCAGAGAACTGGACCCAGTTATAAACTGTAGAGTATAAACAAACAAAACTCAAGCTCAGAGCTCAACTGGGGCTGGGCATGATGGCACAAGTTTTTACTCCCATTTCTTGAGAGACAGGGGTAGGGGTATCTCCGTGAGTTCCAGGACAGCCTGAGTTACACCAAGAGACCCTCTGGAAAGAACAACAATAGAACTCGGCTGGGGCTAGGTTTGGTGGTGCATGCCTTTGATCCCAGCATTTGGAGACCAGATTTAGGCAGGTGGATCTCTGAGTTCAAGGTCAGCCTGGCCTACGCAGTGAGTTCCAGTCCAGCCAGAAGTACGGTAAGAACCTACCTCAAAAAAAAAAAATCAAATTAAGAACTCAATTAAGTGTTAACTGTAACATCATAATAAAAAGAGCTAAAGGTAGAACTAGTACTAGAATAGAATATAAATAAGATATTTGGGGCTGGAGAGATGGCTCAGAGGTTAAGAGCACTGCCTGCTCTTCCAAAGGTCCTGAGTTCAATTCCCAGCAACCACATGGTGGCTCACAACCATCTGTAATGAGGTCTGGTGCCCTCTTCTGGCCTGCAGGCATACACACAAACAGAATATTGTATACATAATAAATAAATAAATATTTAAAAAAAAAAAAGATATTTGGAGCCAGGCAGTGGTGGCACACGCCTTTAATCCCAGTACTCAGGAGGCAGAAGCAGGCGGATCTCTGTGAGGTTGAGGCCAGCCTGGTCTGCAAGAGCTAGTTCTAGGACAGGCACCAAAACTACTGAGAAACCTTGTCTTGAAACAACAAACAAACAAACAAACAAAAAAAACAAAATAAAATAAAATATTTGGAAAAAGACAGAAACAAAGAAAACGGGTAATGTGTGTATAACTGAAACAACATATAGATTATCAATGTTGGAAACAGTTTCTTGAGACACGATTTCTCTGTATAACAGCCCTAGGTGTCCTGGAACTCAATTTTTAGGCCTTGAACTCACAGAGATCAGACAGTCTATGACTCCTGAGTGCTGAGATTAAAGGTGTTTTGTTTGGTTGGAAGAGAGTTTTGAAAGCTAACAAAAGTCATTAAGTCACAGCATTGAAATGCATTTTGAATCTCAAGAATGGCAAATACAAAAGTAAGCAAGGACCCAAAACCACTGAGCTAGAGAAAATTGCTAAGGGGGAAAATATATTCAAAGAATCAATAAATTTATTAAAAAGCAAAATAAACAGCAGTAGCATGTGTGTGCTTCTGTATACAAAAGGCATCCTTCAAAGAGAAGGGAATTATGACAATTAGACTCATGCCTTCAGGAAAGAATGAAATAAATAAGACATGTACAAGGCAATAAATGCAACTACCAGTTTATATGAGAATTAAAATTAAAATTCACACACACAAAAATAGCTCATGAGAAAACACAGCATTCCAGAACATTCCACCATCTCATGGTGCTTACATTCTTCCTGCCCTCTCTTCTCTGACGTGCCCTGAGCCTTGCAGAGGCTGACAAAGATACTTACGGCTGAGCATTGAACAGCCACTTTTTCAGCACTTTGACCAGTTATGAGTCTCTGCTGTTAGTGCTGCCCACTGCAAAACAGCAACAAAACCTTTTCTCACTGGTGGTTTGAATAAGAATGGGCCCAATAGGCTCCTATATTTAGATACTTCATGACCAGCAAGTGGAACTGTTTGAAAGGATTAGAAGGATTAGGAGGTGTGGCCTTGTCAGAGGAAGTGTGTCACTGGAGGTGGGCTTTGAGGTTTTAAAAGCCCATGCCAGGGCTGGAGAGATGGCTCAGAGGTTAAGAGCACTGACTGTTCATCCAGAGGTCCTGAGTTCAATTCCCAGCAACCACATGGTGGCTCACAACCATCTGTACTGAGATCTGATGCCCTCTTCTGGCCTGTGGGCAAACATGCAAGGAAACACTATGTACATAATAAATAAATAAAATCTTTTAAAAAATAAATAAAAATAAATAAAAGCCCATGCCAGCCAGACCCAGTGTCTCTCAGCCTGTGAATCAGGATATACTACTTCTCCAGCCCCATGTCTGCCAGCAGATTGCAATGCTTCCCACCATGATGATACTGTACTAACCCTCTGAAACTGTAAGTCAGCCCTCGATGAAATGCTATATAGATGAATTGCTTTGGCCATGTCTCTTAACAGCAACAAACTGTGACTCAGACACTAACTGAAGCTGACAGCAGCACTCATCTATGCGCAAACATAATTAGTCACATCACACCCATTTACCAAACAACAGCAGTGTCTTCCCCACGAGGGTCCATGACCTCACCAGCCACGGCATTAACCGGGTGTACAGTGCTGGCTGTGCTCCCGCCACTGGAGCAGGCCTCAAACCCAGCCAGAAAGCAGTTGGCTACCCCACAGCAGACTTGCCTCTGCTGCACCAACGGACACACCGTGCCTGGAGAATCGGCCGTGTCAGAGTTAAGGTCATGGCTGTGTTAGACCGTTGGTGACAATCCTCCCCAGCAGCCTGCACAGCACCGTCCAGCATAAGAGGACAAGCCAGTGAGGAGAGAGCTTCCAGCGGTTCCAGCTGGACTTCTCTGTCCTTAGAGAAAATATGGTGTCTTCAGCAACAGGTTCTTACCATATATTTCCAGTGGTGTTTGCCTGCATTGTTGTGGGAGCCTCAGGAATCTCCCTGACCTACACATCATCGGGTGGTGCTCCACTCCAGGCACTGGAATTTTCACTAACAAATCTATAGCTCCTGGAGTCAGCTTTAACCACTCGGGGACCACCATTCAAATTCTTACAAAAAGGAAACACCAGTTTTCAATTAGATTACCAAGTGCTGGTTTCCTTGTGGCTTTGCCATACAGCCTCAGTTTTGGCTCCTTCCTGTCCCCTCCCCATTTAAGTATTCCCCCTTTTACTTTCATATCTCATGTGATTTATTACTCTCCTCTCCATAACCTAAAGTGTCTTTTTCCACTCTCATGGGCCCCTTTCGAGTTTCTTGGCATTAATTACAGTCATTTCCACATAAATATGCATATATTAAAACTAGAAGGCAGGGACTCTAGAGACGGCTCTGCAGTTAAGAGCACTGGCTGCTTTTACAGAGGATACAGATTTGGTTCTGAGCACCCACGTGGTGGCCCACAACCATCTGTAACTCCAGTTCCAGGAGATGTGATGCCCTCTTTTGACTTCTACAGGCACCATGTGGTGCACAGATACACATGAAGGGAAAGCACATATGAACACATAAATAAATCTTTAAACAAAGTTAATGAAAAGGCAGAAGAGATTATGCTTGTTTCTGAACCTGGGTTAGCTCACTTAATGTAATATTTCCCAATTCTATCCATTTTCTTACAGATTCCACTGTGTATCTGGGTCACATTTTCATTATCTGCTCATCACCCGATGATCCTCTAGAATGAGTCCATTTCCAGCTGCTGGGAGCAATGGAGCAGCAGTGAACCCGGACCTGCAAGTGTCGCTGTGGCAGGACGCAGGGGTGTGGCCTGAAGTGGCGTGGCTGGACAGAGGGTGGGTCCATTCTAGTTTCAGTTCAGTGGCTGCACTAGTTGGGGCTCTTGCTAGGAATGGATGAGGGTTCCACTTTATTTAACATCCTTTCTAACATTTATCATTTCCTCTCTCTCTCTCTCTCTCTCTCTCTCTCTCTCTCTCTCTCTCTCTCTCTCTCTCCCCCCCCCCCCCCCCCCCTCTTTCTAGCCCCAACCTCACAGAGATCTGCCTGACTCTGTCTCCCAAGTGCTGGGATTAAAGGCAGACACCACTGTTGCCTGGCTTTTATTTCAGGTTTGTAGAGTCATCAGGTATATTTTGAAACTAACAACAACAAAAATCTAACTGGGCGGTGGTGGCGCACACCTTTAATCCAAGCACTCAGGAGGCAGAACCAGGTAGATTTCTGAGTTCGAGGCCAGCCTGGTCTACAGTGTAAGTTCCAGGAGAGTCAGGGCTACACAGAGAAGCCCTGTCTCAAATCGCCACCCCCCCCCCCCCGCAAAGCAACTAACCTGTTGTAAACTGTTAAAGATAATCAAGACATACAAGTAAATGGTCAGGCACTTCATAATATCAGACTCTTTAATGTGCTCAGAACTATGTGCACAGTCATGCTGGGATAAATGTAATTCATTTACAAGGACAAGCATTATTTAGCCACCTGTATATCTTTTCAAGGTTAAGCCTAGAGCAAGTAACTAAAAACAAGTCAAGTGTGTTTAAAATGAGGTATATTTAATAGATGGCCCTTAAAACCCCCAGAGATCTGCTGAATGTGGTATTTAAAGTGTTTAGTAAAAAGCTTCCCATGATAGTAGAAACACCAGCACCTAGTGGCAACTCTAAAGTCTCCAGAGAAGACGGTGGGGCAGAGACTACTCCACCTGGAATGTGTTAATAGGAACCACTGGGGAAGAAACTGCCAAGGCCCCGCCCAAACTGTTCTCACTGTTGGGTTGACTATAGGCTTTGCCAAGGTAGGTCAGTTTTCCCAAGTTCCTTGTCCACAAGAAAATCTCTCAGACCTTCTGGGTCTCGTGACCCAAGGCTGATGCCGCCATGTGTGACAGCCAAAGACTGACAAGCTGTCTCCAGTGAAACACTGAGATTACCATGAGGGAACCTAGAGTAATTGCCCAGGTAGCAGCTAAGTCTCTGCATTTTAACTGTTACAGAGACCATTTGGATTATAGTTCTTGCTCTAATTTATCCTTCTCAGGTCTTGGATGAAGCTGATGGCTAACTGTAGTTTTATCATTCTGACAACAGCAAGCACCCAGCTCTCTGCCTCCCAAGGGTGCGGCTGCCTGGTCAGTCCACTTCATAGGTAAAAGTCAGACTCATAGTTTACCTTGCTGGCTGATTTCACAGGCAAAGAGATAAACTCACAAAACAGGTTTCAATGTAACTTTTTACCCAATTCCTTTACTTAAAGGAGCTTACCTTGTAATGACTGCGCTCAGTAATCAACCACTTTTGTTTCATGGTAAATGACTGGATGGAAAAAGAAAAGGGTTGAGGTTTACGTTGTGATGGTCTGAGAAAGAATTTAAGGTGTGCAACCGCAACCTGTAGAGGCCTGAGGATGCGAAAGCTTAAGTAGGTTGTGAGGGTCCAAGAGCGGCTCAAGGGCTGTGAATGTGAGCTATGAAGGTTGGAGGAAGAGATTTAAGGTTTGTGAAAAATGAGAAATCTTTCAGGTTTCTCTGCCTCCCATGCTATATAGTTATATTAAGACTTCAAAAGTTCACCGTTTTAACATTAATCAGTGGAGTTCTGATAAGCTACTAATCTAGCTCTGGTGAAGTGCTAGTATTATCACAGTCTCAAGCTCAAAATTTAAAATTCCCTGTGGTTGTTTTCGATTGTAGCCTCAAGAGTACTTCTCCAGGGAGCTCAGTGGTTAAGAGCACTGGCTGCTCTTCCAGAAGACCTGGGTTCAGTTCTCAGCATCCATATGGCAGCCCACAGATGTCTGTAACTCCAGTTCCAGAGGATCCAGAGCCCTTACACAGACATACACACAGACAAAAAAATATTCCTTTACACTATAGGAATATACATCACTGTGATTGGTTTAGTAAAGAAGCTGACTGGCCTTTAATTGGGCAGGAAGAGAATGGGCAGGAGAGCCAGACTAGGAGAATGCTGGGAGGAAGAAGGGAGGAGTCTGGAGTCAGCAGCCAGACACAGAGGGAGCAGAAGATGATCATGTGGTACTGAAAGAGGTACCGCCACATGGCAGAGTGTAAATAAGAAATACAGGTTAATTTAAAATGTAAGTTAGCTAGTAACAAGCCTGAGCTATCGGCTGAGTATTAATAAGTAACATTAAGTCTCCATGCTGGTTTTTTGGGAGCTGGAGGACAGGATAGAAACTTCCACCTATGCTCATTTAAAAAAAAAAAAAAAAGCTTCTCTTAAAAACAAAAAAGAGCCAGGCATAGTAGCACAGGCCTTTAATCCCAGGAGGCAGAGGCAGGTGAATCTCTGAGTTTAAGGTCCGCCTGGTTTACAAAGTAAGGGTCTACAGCTGGGACTACACAGAGAAACCCTGTCTCGAAAACAAAACAAAGGGCTTCTTGTCATGCTGAAAACATCTCCATCTAGTGTATATACATCCAGTCCTCTGGACAAAGGGAAGTGTGTTCAGACTTTTAGCCCAGAACCATCTTTTTGGTTCCTCAAGTGCCTATTAGCATACCAAAGTACACGCTGGCCTCTAGGCTCTCTCAGTGTCTCAGAGTCCATGCTGGCATCTTGGTTCTTCTCGCTCCGCCTCCCACTCAATACGTCTCCAGCTCCTAGGCTTCCCTCCCCCCAGTTTCTCATCTCTATATAACCGTGCCATTCCTGCAATGTGCTCTCTTCCCCCTCTCTTGCTCTCCCTGTGTCTCTCTTCTCTAATGGCCTGGCTCACTCTGCAGGCCATGTTCAGTGTACGGCTTTCTCTCCCTGCTCTGGACACTCCCAGATGCCTGCCTCCGGCTGTACTCTCCCTAATATCTACAACAAAAACCTTTCCCTTAAATATACCTCAGTACGGTCATGGCCTCAGTTTTTTACACTTTCAGCCCCTTTAGAATGGTAATGCATGTTTTTTGCCATTGTATGTCGGAAGTATGTAATTTGCTTTTTTTTTTTTTTAAGACAGGGTTTTTCTCTGTAGTCCTGGCTGTCCTGGAACTCACTCTGTAGACCAGGCTGGCCTCAAACTCACAAAAGATTCATCTGCCTCTGCCTCCCAAGTGCTAGGATTAGAGGTATGCACGACCATCACCTGACATTTCTTTTTTCATTTTTTGAGACAGGGTTTCTCTGTGTAACACCTCTGCTGTCCTGGAACTCATTCTTTAGACCAGGCTGACCTTGAACTCACAGAGATCCTCCTGACTCTGCCTCCCAAGGGCTATTTTTAATTATTTATTTATATTCTATGTATGAGTGCTTTGCATGTATACCTGCATGCCAGAAGAGTGTGTTGGATCCTATTACAGATGGTTGTGAACTACCATGTGGTTGCTGGGAATTGAACTCAAGACTTCTGGAAGAGTAGTCAGTGCTCTTAAATACTGAGCCATCTCGCCAGCCCATAATTGCCTTTTATATTTTACAAGTGTTACAATTAAAAGATTGCCTTGAATCTCAGAAGAGACTTTGGACTTTTTTTGATGTTGTTGTTGTCTTTCTGTGTAGTCCTGACTGTTCTGGAGCTCACTATGTAGACCAGGGTGGCTGCGAATTCACAGGAATCTGCCTGCCTCTGCCTCTCAAGTGTTGGGATGAAGGCTTGTACCTGGCTCTGATTTTGGACTTTTAAACTAAGAGATTATGAAAGATTATGGGGACTTTTGAAGTCAGGCTAAATGCATTTTGCGTTCTGGCATGGCCATGAGCCAGTGGGGGTCAAGTATATATTTGATTGAGAAATTCTTCCCAGACACTGATGTATCTGGGTACTTAGTTCCCAGCTGCTGGTGCTGTTTGGGGGAGGTTTCTCAGATAAGTTCCCTTGTGTACGTGGCATTTTATCACAGCCACAGAGAAGTAAATCGCCCCTTCAAAGCTTATGTATCAGCTCTTCTCCTTTTTCAAATTGTCTCTACTTATTTACTTATTGCTTGCGACAGAGTCTCATTATGTAGCCTAGGCTTGCAGACCACTGACTCTGAAAACTGTTGCTTTCCTCTGTAATTCACTTGTGCAGTAACAGCTATGATATCTCCCCACTACCATGCATTTTCATGTGATGTGTACATGTAATCTCATGATTGCATCCCAATCTTATGAGCACCATCTGTGGGTGGTCAGAAAGATGGCTTTTTTAATTTTTTTAATTTATTTATTATGTGTACAGTGCTGTGCCTGTATATATGCCTGTACCCCGGAAGAGGGCACCAGATCTCATTACAGATGATTGTGAGCCACCATGTGGTTGCTGGGAATTGAACTCAGGACCTCTGGAAGAACAGCCAGTGCTCTTAACCTCTGAGCCATCTCTACAGCCCCAGGAATATGACTTTTCATTTGGTTTTATAATTTTGATATACAGAATATATATTAGGACATGCTTCATAACTAAATGTATTTGTCCCATGAGGACTGTAGATACTTAAAAGCTTACCTTGTTCCTTTTGCTAAGACTACTGCACACAATTAGCTCATTTTTACCTCAGAGCAAGTTCAAACTGGGCTAAAGTCTCTTTGTAAAAAAATCATAAGTTTAAAACCTTACAGCTGTGCACAAGGTCGGAGTTGCAGATGTCCAACCTAGGTTGTTACACAAAGCACCGCAGATGTCCAACCTAGGTTGTTACACAAAGCACCCTAAGAGAAGCATGCCAGTTCTTCACTTGCCAATCTGCTAACAGTAGACCCACGTCTCAGAGTTTGTCACTGGGCACTGTGTTCATCACCTCCCTCCCCCCCCAGTCTGATCATGGTTTTACTCCTGTAACCTTTAAACCCTTGTGTTGCCATGGCAATGGCTCAGTTCCCTATCGCTTACCCTAGGAATGTGCTTTTGGCCAATGAGAGGTAACTCTTGTAATTTCTTTATTGCTTCAAGGTTCCTGTAAGGAAAGAGTTTTTAGGCTAGAGGAGGAGAAGCTGGAAGAAGGGCTAGAGAGACGGCTCAGCGGGTAAGAGCACTGGCTGCTCTTCCAGAGGTCCTGAGTTTGATTTTCCACACCCATGTGGTGGCTCACGACTCCAGTTCCAGGGAACCTGACACCCTCACACAGACATATGTGCATGAAAAATACCAATGCACATAAAATAAAAATAAATTAAATTTTTAAAATTATATTTTAAAAATAAGAAACTAGGAGAAACTAGAAAGAAGGCAGAAAAATTAGAATAGAGGCAGAAGAAGAATAAAGAGGCTGATTTGGAAAAGCTTGTGTGAGAGAGAGTTTGTTTGTTCACCCTCAGATAGCCAGAGAAAAAAGTCCTTTTTGCTTGCTGTTGTATCCGATGTGAACCATGTGCTTTTATCTATCCTGATAATCTCCCTTTGAAAAGTTTTCCCCAGGAAGGGTTGTATTGTGTAGCTCATATTGGCCTCAAACTTGTGACCTTCCTGCCTTGGTCATCTGAGTTTGGGAGATACATACACTGCCATGTTTCGCTCAGCCTCTTTTATTTCTTATGTGTTTGCGTGTTTTGCCTGCAAGCACTATCTAGGCGCTAGGGATTGAACAAGTGAATTACAGAGGAAAGCAACAGTTTTCAGAGTCAGTGGTCTGCAAGCCTTGCTGACAGGGTACCCATCAGGGAATACTTCCTCTGCTGGGCTGACATCTGAATCACCAATTGCTGTAAGCTGTAATTGTGCCGTGGCCCACAATGCTCGTGATAAACGCTCCTGACAATATAAGTCAACCAAAGACACACTTTAGATCCAAATACACAGGTAGTTGAAAGTAAACTGATGGGAAAGGTACCACGGCCTGTGCAGCTTCGCCTCGGCTGGGGCCAGTGGGAGAATGCAGCGGGGTAGACACACACGCAGAACATCTGGGGTCAGACGAACAGCTGTACTCTGATGGAGCTCCCTCTACTGCTACTGCAACCTGGGCCTCGGCGTGTTTGTTGTGTGGATTTTGTGCAGCACGGCGGGGGGTGGGGTAGCTAGTCTCAGACTGTAAAGACCAGGAGGACGAAGCTGTGGATGCCTGTTTTAACACACTGACCAATTGTGCCTTTGTACACATACACTCATACATAGACCAAAGGAAGAAGGCTTTGCTGTTCCCTAGCCTGACCCACAAGGGGATAGGTTTTGTCTGTTTCCCATTGGTCTGAGTTCTTGGTCCTTGTCATGGCTGTGCCCACGTCAACAGCACACATCCATTCAGAACTTCATTGCTCAGAGCTTCCTCCACTCCTGTAACCAAAAGAGCGTGATGGTGGGGTTGACAGTGAGCTGGCTTGGTGGGTGAGGGCCCAAGCTTTGCTGCCAAGTCCGAGGCCCTGAGCTCAATCCCCGATTCACAAGTACCCAAAGAGTGTAATGGGAGAACCAGCTCCCCCAAGCTGTTCTTGGACCTCCACACATGCATTGTAGAATCGTGTGCTCGCCTACATGCACACGCACACTCAAATAAGCAGAAATATTTAATGTAAGAAAACATGAGGGCCTATGTTATTAGTAGATGAAACAAACTTTAAATTTAAAAAAATATAGGTGGTGGGGGCTCAAGCCTTTAATCCCAGCACTCAGAAGGCAGAGAGAGGCAGGCAGATCTCTGCCTGGTCTACATCGTGAGCTCCAAAACAGTCAAAAAAAAAAAAAATTTATATGATCAGTAGTAAAGAAGCTTGCCTGACAATCTGAGTTTGATCCCTGGAACCCAAATAGTAGGAGAGAACTGACTTCTTCAGGTTGTCCTCTGATGGGCATATGTGGGCTGCACCCATATACATACAAATAGGATAATAAGGTAATAAAAAAATTAAAAACCTGTTGCTGAAGACACCATGTATTGTGGTCAGAGGACACAGAGAAGTCCAGCTGGAACCAAGCTGGAAGCTCTCTCCCCACTGGCTTGTCCTCTTGTGCAGGCTGCTGGGGAGGATTGTCACCAATGGTCTAACACAGCCGTGACCTTAACTGTGACATGGCCGACTCTCTGGTGGCGGGAGCACAGCCAGCACTGTACACTTGGCTAACGCTGTGGCTGGTGAGGTCATGGACCCTCGTGGGGAAGACACTGCTGTTGTTTGGTAAATGGGTGTGATGTGACTAATTATGTTTGCGCATAGATGAGCGCTGCTGTCAGCTTCAGTCGGAACAGTTTTTGTTGTTGTTTTGCAGTGGGCAGCAGTAACTGCAGAGACTCATAATTGGTCAAAGTGCTGAGGCTGAGCCATAAACAGGACATCTATGTCATCCTCGGCAAGGCTTGGGGAACATTCCAGAAGAGAGGGAAGAAATAACATAATCCATGGAAGGGGTGGCCTTTTGTATATGTTGTCTTCCAGGCAGGACATGGATATTATACTTTTTTTTGGTTTCTTGAGACAGGGTTTCTTTGTGTAGCCTTGACTGTCCTGGAACTAACTCACTCTGTAGACCAGGCTGGCCTTGAACTCAGAGATCCACCTCTGCCTTCCAAGCTCTGGGTCTAAAGGTGTGTGCCACCACCGCCCAGCAAGGATGTTATAATCTTAACTCATGGCAGTGATTGTCTACACAAGACCTGCTCAAGACTGGGTCCATCAACAGCATGTCGTGCAGTGTGGGGAGGGGACTCACAAGGCCCCACTCTGAGACCTATGGTCAGTTCACGGTTGCTGGAGAAAGGAGAGATATTTTCATTGATATGGCCACTGATAAGGTGGATGAGGTACCAAGCTCCCATAAATAAAATAATCCCTCACTCACATTCCTATAAGCAACCCTAGTGAAATGGCTTCTCTCTCTCTGTCTCTCTCTGTCTCTGTCTCTGTCTCTCTCTCACACACACACAATATGAAAGTAGAAGGAGGACTGGTTGGAAGGAAGATGGGGATTAGTGAAGGTGAGAGGGGACAAAAGTTGAGGGTGGATGTGATCAAAATCCATTACATATCTATGTGAAAATGTCAGAATGTACAATTACTATACAACTAACCAATAAGTAATATATACTGATAACAATACAAAAAAAGGCTTAAAAGAGGAAAAACAGAACATTACATAATCAAAAGATTTAATAATTCAAGCCAGTTCTAAGTATGCATGAATGTGATAATGAACCATCAGTGTGTAGAAAAAAGCCTCAGAGTCAAGGAAGAAGCAACTCTACAACAGTAGCTGGAATTGCTGTGTCCCTAACACAAGCAGAACATTAGACAGAAGTAAGAGAAGAAATAGAGGTCTTGACATACGAAAGCCATGGGAGCCAGTGCAGCTCTGCCCAACCCCAGCACGCACACAATGCCGAAGTGCACAGGGGACGTTGTCTTGGAATGTGGGGCAGGCCGCAGAATGAGTC